TGTGTGTGTGTGTGTGTGTGCCGTGAGTTTGTGCACGTCAGTGAGCAACGATCCCATCACCGCACCTCTAACCATCACCATCACCACTATCACCGTCGTCACCAGCCTTGACCGCCGTCTGGTGTCTGAGGAGAACGCCCGTCGAGCGTGCCCGCCGCATCTTCGCCGAATTCGACGCTGCCGGCAACGGGTTCATCGAGGTCCGGGCACATTCATTCTGTGTGTGTGTGTGTGTGTGTGTGTGTGTGTGTGTGTGTGTGTGTGTGTGTGTGTGTGTGTGTGTGTCTGAGTGGTTGTCACCATGTCTGTGCGCGTGTGTGTACGTGTGCCTACCTCTCCATCTGTCTGCTCTATCGCCTATCCGCCTGTTCCAAGCGTTCCTTGCATGATTTCGGTGCCCCCTCGCCTTCATCCCCTTCCCCCTTCACGTCTTCACTCCATGATGTGTGGTCTGGCAGGCGAAGCAGCTAGAAGCGCTGCTGGGTCGCTTGGACATCGACACGTCCACAGAGAACGTCGTTCGCCTCTCTGAAGGTTGTGCACCAACAGACAGCTGCTGCATGGTGTCTGCTTTCACGTCATGTGTGGGTGTGTGGGTGGGTGTGGGTGTGGGTGTGGGAGTGGGAGTGGCTGATGTCTCGCTTTGTGCTGGAGGCCTCACACTGCCTGACTCGCTGGTTCTGCTCTGTTCGTTGTCAGAGATGGTGTCTGACGGGATCATCCTGTTACCACAATTCCTCAGCGTCCTCTATCCAAACGTACGTAGGCGCACTTGTGTGTGAGTGGAGGTACTTCTTGTTCTCCCCTGCCGTTCGTTCATGTTCATGTACACCCCAAGGCATTTCTACCAGTGACTGCACACTCACGCACTTGTGATGCGTGTCAATGACAGCAAACAGCCTCTGATGTGCCAAAGGAGTTTACTGTCTACTTCTACAATGGCATCGCAAAGCCGGGAGAACAGGTGCTTGAGATGCAGTGTGTTTTGTTGTGGGTGTGTGTTTGTGTTTGTGTGTTTTGTGGGTGTTTGGGTATTTGTGTGTGTGTGTGATGAGTGTTTGTGCGTATTTGTGTGTGTGTGTGTGTGTGCGTATTTGTGTGTGTATTTGTGTGTGTGTGTGTGTGTGTGTGTGTGTGTGTGTGTGTGTGTGTGTGTGTGTGTGTGTGTGTGTGTGTGATGAGTGTTTGTGTAGTCTCTGCTCACCTTTCAAACTGCATTGTCGTTTCATCCACCACCCACCCTCACCCTGCTCACCTCCCCTCCCCCCCCCGCCTCCTCACCAACTGTGCATGCCTTGCTGATGTATGCGTGCAGATTTCATACCATCGTGGCGTGGCCAGATCAGACTCGCCGCGTGACTTTGGGCAGGTGGAACTGATGCAGGTGCGTTGTTATTGTTGTTGTTGTTGTTGGTGGTGGTTTAACGGTGCATTCTGTCACGTGCGTCGTCGCTTGTTTGGCTGTGACTTTGCTCCGTGCATCTTACGCACACACACACACACACACACACACACACACACACACACACACACACACACACACACACACACACACACACACACACACACACACGCACGCACGCACACACACACACACAACACACAACGCGCATGCAGGTGTTATGGACCAAATGGGATCCCCTGTGTGTAAAGTGGGACGAGGGCAAGCCGTCCATCACCTAATTGAGCCTGCTGCCTGTGTCTGCACCTTGCCTTGTCTGTGCCGCATGACGACCTGACGTGCCGCTGTTGCACTTGCCTGCACGTACGCGTTCCCCACTTTCCATGCAGCAAAGCAAAGCCAACACCAAGCAAGTCCGCACAAAACAAGCAAAGCAAGCAAGCAAGAAGGCACGTTTTGTTTGTGTTTGTGTTTTGCCACACAACAACAAAGCAAAAGATGGGGTGCGGCACGTCCACGTTGCGGCTTGAGTTGGATGCGGCGCAGACGGAGCTGCATGACACGCGCGCCCAGCTCGCCGAGACCACGGAGCACCTCACTGGCACACAGCAGACTCTCTCAGCTCGAGAGACAGAGCTTCAAAGCGTCAGAACCCAGCTGGAGGCCATCAACGGCTCGGTGTGTGTGTGTGTCTGTGTGTGTGTGTCTGTCTGTCTGTATGTCTGCGTGCGTGGATATGTGTGCCTGTGTGTGTGTGTGCGCATGTGCGTGCTGTATGTCTGTCTGTCTGTCTGTATGTCTGCGTGCGTGGATATGTGTGCCTGCCTGTGTGTGTGCGCATGTGCGTGCTGTATGTCTGTCTGTATGTATGTATGTCTGCGTGCGTGGATATGTGTGCCTGCCTGTGTGTGTGCATGTCATTCCGTATGTATCTCCAAGTGCACTGCAAGATAGCAAAGTCTGCACCGTACTTGTCGTTGTCGCACTCTGCTTCGTTCAAGCAGCACTCACACGCACACGCACGCACTTCATCGGCTGGCGTTTCTTGCTTGTGCCTCGCTGCCTGTCTTCTACGCCCACACCAGAGCAAGGTCGGTTCAGGCACTTGCTGGCAAGAAGCTTGCCTGCAAGCAAGCCACTCAAACATCTGCTTCTGCTACGTGTGTGAATAAGTGTGTATGAGCTGCCCTTTCACGTCCAATCCTCTGCTTCACCGCGCGCACTGCACTCGTGCAACAACAGCAAGCCATCGCGGAACGGGATGCGGAGCTGCGCCGTGTCAAGGAAGCGCTCGACAAGTGCTCGCGTGACTTGCGCAGGTCTGTCCCCGAACCACACACAACATTGCAATATGCTCATGCGAGCATGCATTAGAGGCGTGATTGACATGATACCACGTTATGTTATGTTACACCATGCTTTGCGGATATGGGTTTTGCCATCTCTCTATCTTTCCACTGCGACTGCTGCACTTGCCACACTTGCTGTGCTTGCTTGCCCAAAAGTTGACTTGCGTTCCATGTCATTTGCCCTTCCAAGTGCTCACAGCACCTGCTCTCGCCTCGCATGCGACCGTCAGGACGGTGGATGAGATGGCGCTGTTGCAGGAGGAGCTCAACAGCCGCCGCGACGCCTTGCATGACAAGGACGCCAAACTCAACGGTGCGGCATACACCAGTTGAATACAATCAAGTGCTCATGATACTGCAAGCTCGCCCTGTCATCCATCGTGTGTCAACCCAGCAACCCGTGCTTTCTCTTACATATCCAGCAGCCACTTGCATGCTCACTCGCACCCCTTCTGTTGCTTCCCCCTCCCCCTGGTCTCCCTAATCTTCTCATGCATCACCTTGTAGAAGCCAACTCCAACTTGAAGGTAGCCCAGGATGAGCTGTCAAAGTGGTACCGGAAGACGCTGCAGAAAGAAAAGGAGGTGCGATTGCGAGATGACATGCCAAGCGAGCATGCCTCTCCTGCATTAATGGCTGCAGGGACCGATAGGACTGCCTGCGCAGCCTAGCCAGCTGCATGTCTTGTCTGGTGGTCTGTTGCCTCACACGCTCCGTCTCCCTGAGCCTTCCATGTGCTTCTACCTCCTTTCATCCTCTTCTGCGCTTGCACATCTCATGCCTTCTTGCACGCTGACAGATGGAGACACTGCAGCAGCAGCACGATGGCTTGCAGCAGCAGTTTGACCAAATTGCAAACCGAAAGCTCATGGTCTTGACGGAGCAGGGGCACGTGTTTGAGCTGGGCAGCGGAAGTGGCAGCAAACCAGGATCGCGACGGCACAGCACATCTCTGTCATCATCGAACCTCAGGCGCGCCTCAGCGTCCAGTCGACGTGAGTCTTTTCTTCGCTGTGTGTGCGTGTGCGTGTCTGTCTGTGTTGTCTGTATGTCTGTGTTATCTGTGTGTCTGTTTGTTTGTGTCTGTTTGTGTGTGTCTGTGTGTTTGTGTGCGTCTGTGTTGTCTGTGTTTGTGTTGTGGCCGTGCTTGCATGCAGCTGTTTTCGGTCCCTAAGACACCCATCCTTCTCAATGCAGAACGCTCCACCAGGCCGTTCTTCCCAACACCTCCCACATGTTTACTTTGTGCCTCACCCCATTTCCAACCTTCCAACAACCACTGTTCCTACTGTTCTGCCACGCCGTAGCGGCATCAAAGGCAAAGGCGGCTCGCAGCCTGAGCTCGGGCTCCATTGCCGTCGCTTCCTAGCCTTCCGACACACCATGACCTTATGAATGACCTCAACACCGGATATGCTCGTCAGCCACCCCGTCCGCAACCAATGCTGGAGGAGGAACCGTCCCAAGATCCAAGCAACAAGCAATTGACCATTTCTTGACCTCTCACACAGCTCTCTCCCAAAGCCATGCTGTGTTGTGTTGCCTGCTTGTTCGCTTTGTGTTCGTTTTGCGACCCTATACCGTTACCAAGCAAGTCTTCTTGAACTCTGCTTTCACTTCCTTCATTTGCTCGCATGCTCTTTGTTTACATTCCTCGACCTTGTCATGGTTGACAATCTGTCTGATACTACATGCATTGCAAATTCACAAACAAACATTGCAAAGACACAACCACAATCGTCAAGAAACACACGCACACACCCGCGGCCAAGTTAACACACACACACACACACACACACACAGGCATTGCCTAATTTATGCGCAGACAAAAACACTCACATGCACACAGCCACAGCAGCCGTCACCGCGTGCTGGCCTGCTTTGGGCTGTTGAGGTGCTCTGCCCACTTGTGGTTGAACGTGCGTGCAATGTGGCGCGCCTGGCGTTTCGAAATCCCATCACCACTCTCCTTCAGATACACCTGCACCTGCCTCGCCTCTGCTGCAAACCCTCCTCTCCCGCTCTTTCCCCTCTTGTTGCTACTGCTGCGCTTGCCACTGCTGCTACTCCTCGTACTACTGCCTTGCTCTGCCTGTTCCCGCGTATCTGCGTCCTCAACATCATCGTCGTCCTCCTCCTCGTCCTCGTCCTCGTCAGCATCATCTTGACTAGCGCCACCACCACCACCACCGTCACCGTCGCTGCCGCCGCTGCTGCTGTCGTTGCTGGCATCGCTGATGCTGTTCTCCTTTGCAATGGCATATGCGCGAACGAGCAAGTCGACAAACTCGGCAGGCATTCTTCGATCCGAGTGCAGGTGCGATGCCACGACGTGGCAGGCGCGGGGAACGTCGCCAAAGTCGGCCACCATGGCCAGGAGGGAGCGCACCAGGGACGTGGACACGCGCACGTTGTTCTCGACCATCCATCTGAAGAAAGGCACGGCAATGTTCTTGCTGCCGCGCCCAATCAGGCTGGAGAGGGTGAGGCGGCAGAGGTTGTTGATGGGGAAGACCAGGCCGCCGCGCACGGAGACGGGGTGGATGTCGCTGTCACGCAGCATGAGCAAACGGGCGGCCAGCGTTTCGTTGCGGCGGTCCAGGGCCACGCGTGCCAGCGCCGCCAGACACATGAGCGACACGTGCTGCGGATATGCATCCACAACGGCGCGAATGCCAGCCAGGTCGTCCTGGTGCACGCGGCCGCGCAGGAGCTGGGTGAAGTTGGCGTGGGACTCGAACAGCTGGTCGCGGTGCACGTGCTCCTGAAGCACGTCTAGCGCCTTGTGCAGGTCGCCGGTGTTGAAGTAGGCGTGCACGCGTGCGATGAGGGCGCCCGGCGGTGGCGATGCATCTGCGCCCCACACGCCGATGCTGGTGGTGACCTGCAGCACTTGTTCCAGGTCCTCGACGCGGGCGTGGTTGGCCATGGACTTGAGGATGGACTGCCACACGCGCGCGTGGATGTCGGTGCCCAGCTTCATCTGCTTGCTGACAATCTTCAGCATGAGCTGGTAGTGGGGCAGTGCTTCCAAGTGCAGGAAGAGGTGGCGCAGCTGGCCTGGCGAGATGAGGCCAGGTGTCTCCAGCACTTGCTTGGCGCGCTCAAGCAGGGCATCGGGCTGCGTGCTTAGCACCACCTGACCAGATGCGTGGGATGACGCAGCGACAACAGCGTCATCATTGGCAGCCTCAAGGGCTGCTGCTGTCGTGGCTGCATCCTCGTCCTCGCCTTCATCGTCTGCCTCGCCTTTGCTGCGTCGGGTCGCGTTTTGTGGCTGCTGCTTCACAATGTCCTCATCGCTCACTTCTTGATACTGTTCATCCTCATGCACCACGCCTTGCTGGAAGCCTTTGCTGTTGTTGTTGTTGTTGTTGTTGTTGTTGTTGTTGTTGTTGTTGTTGTTGTTGTTGTTGTTGTTGTTGTTGTTGTTGTTGTTGTTGTTGTTGTTGTTGTTGTTGTTGTTGTTGTTGTTCATGGTGATGTGGAGTGTGGAGGTGGCTGCATCATCGACACCCTGTGCATCTAGCCCATGTGTGGGCGCTGATGTGGTGGATGAATGTCGCTGAACGAGATGCCGTGGCTGTAACGCTGCTGTGTTGACTCGTCGCGAGTTGGGGGGAGTAGACACAAAAGGCGCGCGTTCGTAGCCGCGGTGTCGGTGGTGAATGCATGCGAGACACGCCGTCGCACCCCGAACAGTGCTCCCCCTTGCCGACAACACTGCCAGGTGTGCCAGGCGACTGGAAGGTACACGCCACATGCCCTGCGAGGTGCTCGTGTGTGTGTGTGTGTGTGTGTGTGTGTGTCTGTGTGCTCGTGTGTGTGTGTGTGTGTGTGTGTGCGCGCTGCGAGACTCGTGGTGGAGATCCGGAGGCCGCCGCTGGCTGCTGGTCCCAACAGCATGAAATGGCTCAGAGGTGGATCGTGACGAACTCGCTAAAAGTGCATCACACCACAGTGTTTGTGTCACGTTCCCAAGTAGATTCGATGCAATCTTGCACCTGACATTCCTTCGCTTCCCAACGCGCCTCGTTTGGCTTGCTTGTGCGTTGTTCGATGTGATCAGCGGAGCGGAAGACGCACAACACAACAACAAAACCCAGCCAGGCAACCAACCAACACACGACAGAGTGCAAGGTTGAGTGTGGCGAGTTGAAAGCCGAAGGTGCGTGTAGTGTGTAGTGTTGTGTGGTGGTGGTGGTGTTGTTTGGATGCGATCTTCATCATCTTGTGCTTCTTTTGCTTCTTCTTGCGACTTGCGTTGTATTCCTTCTTTTTGTTCCTCCACGCTGCTTGTCGTGACCCGAGCCCGTTGTCAGTTTCTTCTTGCCCCTGGCTCACTTCTTGCTTGGCTTTGTGAGGCGGATCCCTTTCCCTCCGCCTGCTTTCCGCCCCAAGCATCAAGTGGTGTGGACCCAACCTTTGGTCATCTTTTTTTTTCCTCCTCCTGTCTCCTTTCCTTTCTCCTCGTTTCTCCTCGTATGCGCTCACCCACATACCCCACGCACACAATACGCAAACACACACACACACAACACGCGTATTCGGAACAGCGATTCGTCCCCAATTCCTGCGGCGTCACCAACCATCAAAGAACAACCAACCTCTCAACGACGAACAACGCCATCAAGGTAAGAGAGAATGTGTGTGCGTGTGCGTGACAAGGCTGACAAGCGACAAAAGGGAAAGGGAAAGCAGTCGCCTGCAACACTGCTGCGCTATTACTCCTCGCCATCCAACCAACAACACCGCTCGCGCTCACTTAGGCTCACTCCACACACCAACACCACCTCTCTTTCGCTTCCCGTGTAGATTGCTCGGTGTTGGTTTGTGGTAGGGCTCGCTCATTGCTCCTCCCTGTCGTCGTCGCCGTCGTGGTAGTGTCGTGATTTTCATTCGCCTTTGTCCGCGCGTGCGTGCCGATACTGCACTCAATCAACGAAGCACACCACCAAACTCCGATTCACGTGAGCGGTTGCCGACTGTCAACCAATTGTGCATGGGGTGGAGGGGATTGGGTGGGAGGTGCGGTTGTTGTCGTTGTCGTTTGTCGTTATCGTCTTCCATGTGTGGCGTTGACAAACTGGTTGGGAAGATTGCGGTCGATGTGCGTTTGTGTGTGTGCGTATGCGTGTGTGTATGTGTGTGCGTGTGTGTGCCTGTGTGCCTGTGTGTGTGTGTGTGCGTGCGTGCGTGCGTGTGTGTGCGTGTGTGTGGGTGTGTTCAAAGCATCGAGTGCTCGTGATGATGTGCATCCTTGTATGCCGCCGTACTCTATCTTTTCTCTGCTTGTGCTTGTTTGGCAACAAAAGCATCGACTGTGCCTCACACACGCACACACTCGCACACGCACACGCACACACACACGCACACACACACACACACACACACACACACACACACACACACACACACACGTGTCTCTCCTCCACACCTGTCAACAGCAAGCACTCAGGACACAACAGCAACAAGAGCATGGGATGCGGTCCAAGCAAGAGCGCGGCCATCCACCCGTCTGGGCCTGCACCCAAGAAGGCGGTGCCCACCCCAACACAGGTGCAGCCCAGCGCACATCGTAGCAAGGGTGAGTGGCTCATTAACCTCGTCGCAACCATCTGCGCCCCATCAAACAGCAAAACCAACAGCAGCAATGCCAGCAGCAGCAGCAGCCACAACTCTGTCGCACAAGGCGCAATACAACAGCCACAGCAGGAGCAGGCGAGCCGAGTAACGGTTGCGGAGCTGTCATCCGCGCTCCAACGGGCAGAGGTTGCCGCCGCCGTCAACTTTGTGTCGCCGCAAGGGACGAGCAGCCTTGGCGTGGCATGTGCTCATGGACATGCCGGGGTGGTGCAAGTACTGCTGCGGCACGGTGCGGATCCCAACGTGCTCTTGCACAACTCCAACACAGCCGCTCACGTGGCAGCGGCTAGCGGCAATGCAGGTGTGCTCTTCCTCCTTATCGAGGCCGGCGCACAGCTCGGCACGCGCAACAGCAGTGGCCACACGGTACAGCAGACGGCCCAACATGCGCTGGCAGAACTTCAGGGCATCCACGTCGACGACAGCGCGCTGTGCAGCAAACACCAGCAGCAGTGGCAGGCCTGTCTACGAGACATCTTCCTGACAAACTGGGCAGTCGATGCGCGACACGCGCTTGAGCTGTGTGGCCGTGGATCCAACGCGTCATCCTCATCACCGTGCCCGTCTTCCTCCTTTGAATCCACGCACGACAGCCGCGCCGACGACCACCCGCTCCCACACCACCACCACCACCACCACCACCACCACCACAACGACAACAACAACACCTACAACAGCAGAAGCAACAACAACAACAGCAGCACCGCTCGTACGGGCAACGACGATGATGACACAGATGCTCACACAACGACAACAACAGCGAACCCCACAGTAGCAGCAGAAACAACACGGGAGGAGGTTGCAGTACACAAAGACAGGGTCAGCGTGGACGCAACTGCGAGTCTGAGTTCGCGACAGGGGTCAGACCTGCACCCACGCGATAGCTTTGATGTCTCGGGGCAATCGTCCCAGGTGTCGTTGGGGGTGCCCCGTGCACAGGATCGACAGCAGAGCATGGAGGACCTGAGCAGCCAGTTTTCCGCAAGCGTTGCGCTGGGTGCAGGCCACGTCTCCTCCGACCACGCCGCCGCCACCACCGCCAGCACGTCTGACGCAGAACCACCACAACAACAACAACAGCAGCAGGCGGAACAGCGGCCCGGGTCGTCGTCGCGTGTATCGAGCTCGGTGCTGCGCCCACGGCAGATCCTCGTGTCCACGCCTGCATCGGCATCGTCGTCGTCAACAGCACGCGTGAATGCACCACACGCACAGGCGGACTTGCTGGAGGACCTGTTTGCGCTCACCAACACGCTGCTTGGCGTGTGCCACAAGGAGATGTACATGAAACATGACAGCGGCTTTGTCACCGAGGACATGGGTAGTGAAGATGGCGACAACCACCACAACCACCACCACCAACAACAACAACAACAACAACAACAACAACAACAACAACGCGGTGCAGCTAACAACAACGGCGGCAGCGGCAGCAGGAACAACGGCAACAGTGCGGTGGGCACGAAGACACTGCAAGTGCCTGGGTCAAGTAGCACGGATGATGGCGTGCCCACCTCTGCCGTGCGGCGCGCGCTGCGGGATGTGGTCTATTACAACCGCATGCTCATGGAGTTTGTGCCGTGGCGGCTCACCTCTGAGGAAGTGTCTGTGCTGGGGAGTGCGGACTGGGTGACTGTGCGTGCGATGGCCGCGTCCCACCACCTACGCCTGGTGCGAGCCGTGGCTTCGTGGTGCTGTGCATTGCATGACATTCAGCAGCACTGTGGCGTTTGCGTTGCCTCGCCGTCTGGTGCAAAGCAGACAAAGACAGTCCGCGCGGCCGAGGCGACACCGTCCGCCGTCTCCGAGGCAGGAAGGCGGGTGTCCATTCTTGATTTGGAGCACACGTGGTGTGCCCTCATGTTGTATGATTCCCTCGTCTCGCACTAGCTGCGCAGACATGTCGTGATATTGCCACGCGGTCCCCTTGATTCCATCAACCTGTTGCTTTGATCGTGCGTGGCTTAGCCCGCGTTTGTTGCCATGCTTTTCTTGTTTTTCCTTTCTGAATTGACATGGGCGTTTTTCCCTCGCAGCTCACTTCCGCTTCTGCTTCACCTTCCTGGCCACAATTGCTTTGCCCCTCCACACCTCTGCATGATATTGTTAATGTTAATGTGTCGCTTCGTTTTTTTTCACTACGCTTGTTCCTGCACGGAGTGATGTGACGTGATGTGACACCTCGCCTCTTGTGCTGGCCTTGTTGACGTGAGGGAGTGCTGGCTCGCCTGTGTTGCTGCGGCGTGTTGTTTCGTCGCGTGCGCTTCGGATCGTGGTGCGCAGTCTGAAGTGCAGCAGCCAACCATCATATCCATCGCTCACAGCACAACAGCACGCTCTCCCTCTCTCTCTCGCTTCTGCTTGTGTGTGTGTGTGGTTTTGTGTGCGATGCGACATCAAATGAAGATGTAAACAATTTTCGCTCAACCCTGTGATTGGGCATATTTTCCATCGATTATCCACTGCGCATATCTACGACTCGCACGGCGTTGGCTTGTGGTGGATAGTGTGTCGTGCCTTTTTCTTCTCCACAGCATGTGAGTGCCTCAGCGTGGCGGATATGGCTGCGTGCTTGTGTCTGTATGCGCGTCTGTATCTGTGTCTCTGTGTATGTGTATGCGTCTGTATCTGTGTCTCCGTGCCTGTGTATGCCTTTGTCCGTGTCTGTGTGTCTATGTGTGAGTGTGAGTACGGTGTGGTGTGTGCTGTTTGCACGCCACGGAAGAAAAACACTCGCCTTGTAAGCCGCATATCCACTCCCACACACATGTACAACCACACCCAACTTACTCACGAGCCTTGTCGTGCTCGCTTTGCTTTGCGGTAGACCTGCACCGCTTCGGTCGACCCTTGTCTCCCTTTGCTTCGCTTCGTCGCAACCAACAACCAGTCATCATGGATGAGCAGCCCGAAAAGCTCGCCAGGGTACGTGCGCCTCGTGCGCTTTGTGTGTGTGTGTGTGTGTGTGTGTGTGTGTGTGTGTGTGTGTGTGTGTGTGTGTGTGTGTGGCGTGAACGTCGTGCACAGATGTGGAGATGGGGGGGGGTGAGGGCAGCGGGGGAACGAGGGGCAGCGGGGGATCGGAGTGAGCTTGGGCCAGGGAAGAGGGGAGAGTGGTGGTGGTGCGCATGTGAGGCGGAGAGCGAGAGAGAGAGAAATAGAGAAAGAGAGATGGGATGTGTCATGTGTGGGCATGGGCCGGTGTGAGTGCGAGAGAGTGTGCATGTATGCTGTGGGTGTGCTAACCTGCGACTTTTTCTCGTGTGACTGTTGATGGCATCATCCCGCTGCCACTCTTGGTGTTTGTCCCCGTTGATGCACGTCAGAGAAGTACATCAACTCACCCACGTTATCCCAACTCACACGCACGCACAATCACTCACCCTCACGCACGCACACACGCACGCAAACATACACGCACATTGTCCGATCACGCGCGACAAAACAGGTCACCAAGGTCCTCGGCCGCACTGGCTCCCAGGGTCAGGCCATTCAGGTTCGCGTGGAGTTCCTCGACGACACCAGCCGCAGCATCATCCGTAACGTCAAGGTGCGTGTGTGCGTGTGTGTGTATCTGATGTTTGTTGATGTTGTGTGTGTGTGGTTGCTGTTGTTTCCTTTGCTTTTATTTTTCCTTGCATCGCTTTTGTTCTCGCATCGACGCTCACATTCCCTTGCTACTTGCTGTCTGTATCGTTACTGCCATCTCGCAATCACTCCTTATCGTCGTCCTCCCCCCTCCCCGGGCCTCTCGTCAATGTCAACGTCAACTTGTGTCAACCAAACAACCAACTGCCATGGTTGACATGTGTGTGTGTGTGTGTGTGTGTGTGTGTGTGTGTGTGTGTGTGTGTGTGTGTGTGTGTGTGTGTGTGCAGGGCCCCGTGCGCGCTGGCGATATCCTTGTTCTGCTCGAGTCTGAGCGCGAGGCACGCCGCATGAGATAAGCGAGCCAGCCTGTGCTCGTGCGTGGGTGCGTGTTGCGTCCTCTGTGTGTTTGGTTTTCGCCCACTGTCGCCCCGCTCGACTGTTGCTTGAGTAAGCGCGGATCTACCGACACACTTGCTCTTCTTGTTGTTCTTTTTTCTACTCGTGCAACAGTCGCTCGCACCAATGAAACGAAACCAAACCCACCATGCCCGAGACCATATCATGATTGTCAAATGAGAGAGAGAGTGTGTGTGTGTGTGTGTGTGTGGTGTGCCATGGATGTCGAGGACTTGTAGTCACAGTTGCGGCAGACGAACATCGCACCACTCCCCACGGACGCAATTCGATTCATTTGCTGCCCGCTCTCCGTTCCTTCCTCCACACACACACACACACACACACACACACACACACACACCATCATGTCTGTGTGACACACGTCAGTTCATCAACTTTACTGCTGAGAGAGAGAAAAAAAGGGAGCGGGAAGGGAAACGAGGGCGAATGAGGACAAGAGTGGGCGTAACCGACGACAAGGTACACACAACACGGACAAGCTGACCGCTCCTCCCCGATCAAGCAAAGGAAACACACAAACACCATCATCATCATCACAAAGTGGGGAGGATGACGAGAAAAGAGAAGGGAGGGGCACAAGAACAACAACAAGAGCCGAATACAAGACACCAAAAGGAGGGCCATCCCTAACCCCAAAGACATGTACACGTGCACAAAGGCTGCAGTCGCACATGTCCACAAGGCACAAGGACAAAGCCTCGCATCACCACGACATGCACGGACACAGAGCTACATGCTCAAGCGAAGTATGCGGAGGGGGCGGGGGAGACAAGGAACGAGAGAAAGTGTGGAAGCAAAGACCGCCAGTTGGCTTCAGCAAAACAAAAGCCAAAAAAGGAGTTTGCAAGGAAAGGAGGCACAGGTGGTATTGTTGTTGTTGTTGTTGTTGTTGGTGGTGGTGGTATGGAGGAAGAAACAACAAACGCTAGGTAAACACACAAGACACACGTATTACGCACATCATAAATGATATGGCGACAGGCATGGGAGGGAAGGGCGTTTACTTGGCGTTCTTGAGCTTGGACGACAGCCAGTCGAGACCCTCGTAGAGACCCTCGCCGTTAGTTGCGCACGTGGCCTGGATGTACCACTCGCGGTTGCGGAGCTGGTGCAGACCAAGCTTCTCGTTGATCTCGGCCGCGTTCATGGCCTGGGGAAGATCCTGCTTGTTGGCAAGCACCAGAAGCACGGCATCGCGGAGCTCATCCTCGGCAAGCATGCGGTTCAGCTCCTCGCGCGCCTCTCCAATACGCTCGCGATCGTTGCTGTCAACCACAAAGATAAGACCTAAAACCACACACCCCAGCAAGTGAGAAAAAAATATTGGAGTGAGATCACACGCAATGAGTGAGAGAGTGTGAATGCAGGTAACTCTTGTCCAATGCGACTTGCAGACACGCAGACGACTCACGCACACGCGCGCATGAAAAATGTCCCAACCCCAACTTCCAAAGAAAAAAGTACGCAATGCAAGGGGGATGATGATGATGCTCACCTTGTGTGTTCTGGAAGTAGTGCCTCCACAGGGGGCGGATCTTGTCCTGACCACCGACATCCCACACTGTGAAACTGATGTTCTTGTATTCGACTGTCTCCACGTTGAAGCCAATGGTGGGAATTGTCGTCACAATCTCACCGAGCTTGAGTTTGTAAAGGATGGTGGTCTTACCAGCGGCATCAAGACCAACCTGTGTGTGTGTGTGTGCGTGTGCGTGTGTGTGTGTGAGTATAACAAGTCAAATCAAAGAGACAAAGGAAAGAAGGTCAGCGGTCGTCCATCACACACGCAAGCCATGGCGTGTGCCGTCGACAGAGGACGTACCATGAGGATACGCATCTCCTTCTTGCCAAAAAGGCCGGAGAGCGCTTTCGCGAACACTGAACCCATCTTGTGACTGTGGAAAGGGGAGGACAAGTAAGCAGCGCAAGACAAAAATAGAGAGGTCAAGGTTAGTGGTGGTGAACACGGATGCATGGACAACTGAGGCAAACAAGGAGATGGAGGAGACGCTTGCTGTTGTGGTTACTGCTCTTGTTGCTGCTGCAAGGAGTGTGGCGTCACATCGTGCACGATAGAGCGCTTAGTGCTGTCGATGGCACAACACAGCTGTGGACACAAAACCACGACACAATCGCCACCAACAAGATACAACCCCCACACACAGCACGCACACTCAAAAAAAAGAAAGGATATCCTCAGCGTGGGGAGGAGGTAGTAGATGAATGAACACGGGACGAAACCAATTAGAGATGGACGACACAATGCGAGAGGGCGCGACAACTGGGGAAGCACAGAGGAGAAAGGCTACGACAACAACGACGCCATCAGCCGCACAGTAACCAGACACAACACTCTCGTTGTTTCGTGCTCCCCCACATCAAAAGTGCCAACGCAGCAACCATCTCATCTGCCACGCGGCACACGGGCATTCCACCAACACAGCACATGCCCAAGCTGTGCACCCAAGCCCTTCCAGCAACGCCGACAACCACACGACAGCAAGCATGCCCGCTTCTTCCTCTCTGTCCGCCACGTCCACCAAATCGACCACAGGTGCTTGTTTGTTGTTGCTGCTGCTGATGGTACTGCCTGCCTCGCCAGAGCTGCTGTGGTCTTCGTTCGAGCTGGCTCTCAGGTCTGGGTTCAAGAGCTCCCTCACGCATTTGAGACCACGTCCTCTCAACCCACTCTCTCGTCTCCCACACACGCACACGCGCGCGCGCACGCAGAGAGGCACATGGAGCAGGCAACGCACCTGCTTTGCTGACGCGAGGAGAAGGAGACAAGCGAGGGAAAGTGACCGTGGTGTGCTGTGTGGAGGCGTGACAGCGTGGAATGTCCAGCAAAGCACTTGCTCACTTTTCCCACAGCACACAGCAGCAAGAGAAGACAGGCGGGAACAACACACACACAAGAGCACAAGCGCATAAGCAGAATTTTTTTTATTTTTTTTCTTGATGGGCTGTTTTGTTGGCACCGCCTTCTTTGCTGAGCTGGGCTCGCGCCAACACGCCCTGGCTCGCCCACAGTTTTATTTCTTTAGCCCGAGCACCAAAAGTCTGCCTCCATCCATTGCACCGATCCAAAATGCATGGATTCTCCTATTTTAATTATGCGACAGCATAAACTAACAAAAGCGAGCGACACGACATATAAAGATGTGTGTGTGTGTGTGTGTGTGTGTGTGTGTGTGTGTGTGTGTGTGTGTGTGTGTGTGTGTGTGTGTGTGTGTGTCTGTGTGTGTGTGTGTGTGTGTGTGTGTGTGTGTGTCTGTGTGTGTGTGTGTGTGTCTGTGTGTGTGTCTGTCTGTGTGTCTGTGTGTCTGTGTGTGTGTGTGTCTGTGTGTCTGTGTGTGTGTGTGTCTGTGTCTGTGTCTGTGTGTCTGTGCGCGCGCGCGTTTGTGTATGCCACGCACACGTGTGATACATCATATCCCACTGCACGACGCTTTCCACGGCACCACGGCGCGTGTCAATGTCATCAGAATGGCCCATCTGAGGGCGCTTTTGCTTCGTGTTGCTCCGGTGCGTGCTCGGGTTGTGCGTGTTGCAGCCATGCGTGTCCCAGCGCAAGCGCAGATGACGTGAAGAACGAAAACTTGAGCGCGTCCTTAAACGGGTCAATGCCAAGGACCTTGGCTGCAACCCAGCCACCGCCAACAACAGCCACAGATTGGCAATACCACGCGGAAGATGATGATGATGGCTTCAAAGCAGAGGAAGCCTGCTGCCGCTGCTGCTGTGCCTGTGTCTGTTGTCGATGCAGCCCTTGTTGCTGTTGTTGTTGTTGTATGTTGGCACCAAGCACGGGGCTGGCCAGTTGTGGCGATGGCAGCTGTTCCCGCGCCACAGCATCTATCGCAAAGTCCAGTGCAGCCGTGTCCACTTGCGTGCTCACAGAGACGCCACAGGGCCTTGGAACCGTCGCCTGTACCCCAGTGTCCACCATGGCTTTGTGTACGTTATCACTATCAACACTGATCACGCGCTCGGCTGATTCTGCTGCTGGTGCTGGTGGGGAAGTGGGTGCTATCACCGCCATCGTCGACGTGTTGCCACTTGTCCGGATGCCAGGTGAGCTCGCCATATCATCAGCCGTTGTCGCCATCACCGATGCTGCAGGAGATGCTAATGCTGGTGCCGACGTGTTGGCCCAGTCCGCCTCTGCATCGCCCACGTGCTTGCTGCTGTCGTCAGCACCACGGCCCTCACGCCAAACAGCGGCCGAAGCATGACAAGGAAGACGAGGAAGGGGAGAAGGAGGAGGAAGAGAAGAAGAAGCACAAGGGGTACGAGGGCACGGCTGCATCGTCGTCGCATGTGCTGCCGCCTGGCATGTCGTTTCCTTGGTGCCATTCTTGTCGAGGTTGGCACCAGCAAAACCATCATCGTCATCGCTGGCATCGCCGCCGTCACATTCATTCCTGTCGTCATCACCACCATCATCAGCACCACCACCATCGGCATTGCCAACGTCGGGCGTGCTGCCCCTGCTTCCCGCATCGCTGCCGCCAACACGGGAATCGGGAGCACAGTCAGCGACCACAGCAGTATGGTGGTCACCGCTGCCAGCAACAGCAACAACAACAACACTGCTGCTGCTGCTGCTGCTGCTGCTGCTGCTGCTGCTGCTGCTGCTTTGCTCAAACACGGCGCCGGATTCCTCCGCCCACGACAGCTCGTGCTCCGTTGCGTCAAACGTCGTTGCATCAAGGTCATCCAGCAGCACGTCCCCCACAGAAACATCTGCTGCAGCCTCGTGCCGCCCACTGCCATGGTCCCCAAACATGCTGTCGTTGTGGCCACTCGTCGTTGAGGTGGCGTCGGAGTCAACAACAACAGGCGCCTCCCACCACACCGCCGCTTCCTCCAGCTGCCGCATGTGCTGCTGATGCTCGTGCTGTTGCAACTGGCTGCATGTTGCTGTCGCCACTTCCGCTTCCGCTGTAGCCGCCGTCGCTGCTGCTGTTGTTTTTGTTGTTGTTGTGACTGTTGTCGAGCACGGTGATTCAAACGCCAGCGCATGGCCCGTCCACGCCGGCGTTGGTGTCATTGGTGTACTGGACCACCCCGCTTGAATGCTCTCCTCCTCCCCACTCCGCTCAGCAATGCCGAACAGGGCACGCGGTGCAAGTGCGGAACGCCTTGACGCGCCAACAGCGTCTGCAGCCTCGCTGCTGCCACCATCAACATCATCATTGCCATGATCATCCACGACCCCCTGTTCCTCTTGCTGCTGCTGCTGCTGTTGCGGTTCTTGCTGCAACGAGATGTGCTCGACGGCTGCCTCGTCAAAGTCAAACGACTCGTCACCGTCACCACCATCGTCTGCTCGATATGCATGTAGCCGTGCTGACTCTATCGCCACCGTTGAAGGTGTTGGAGACGGGGAGTGAGCGGCGGGCGCCTTGTGTGCGATGGTGTGTGCGCTTGTGCTGCCTTTGCGGCTGTTGCTTCCGCTGCTTCTGCGGCTGTTGTTTCCGCTGTTTCCGTTGCTGCTGTTACTGCCGGCACGGCCGTGGTGATGAAAGGCGCGTGCCGTGGATGAGGTGGGCGACAGCAGCTGGTCAAACAGCGTCTCCTGCGAGTCTTCGAGCTCGCGCCGAAGCGTCGCAACCTCCTCTTGCAGCCGCGCAACCTGGTACCCATATGCGTGTGTGTTTTGTGTGTTTTGTGTGTTTTGTGTGTGTGTGTGTGTGTGTGTGTGTTTTGTGTGTTTTGTGTATGTGTGTGTGTGTGTGCGTGTGGTGAGATGAAAGGGTAATTGTGTGATGTGTTGAGGTCGAGAGAGCGTGTGCATGAGAGTGAGTGGGGTTGGGCGTGTGCACGTGAGTGAAGCAGGTTGCGGTGAACCAGCGTTTGGCACCAACACAATGGCAGTGCGATCGTGTTCTGAAGAAAACACAAGACTGCTGTGCATGTGAACCACGAACAGCCACTTCACAAGGAAGAAGAAGAAGGAAAGCGACAAGATCAAGGTCATGGCAACGCCAACAAATCATCAGAAACACAGCCGTGCAAAACGGGAAGGCAACAATTGTGGCAAGCGTGCTGCTTACGTCCTCGTCGTAGCGGCGGTGCAGGTGCTCAATCTCTTCCTGCAGGGCATCCACCACATCCTGGTGCAGCTGCTGCTGCTTCTCAAAATCAGACGCCAGTGACTGTGCATGTGTGTATGTGTGTGAGTGTATGTATGTGAGTGTATGTGTGTGAGTGTATGTGTGTGAGGATGGGCGCGGTACTACAGACTGTGCTGTTCATGTGTGATGAATGGGCGGACCGAGGCTACAGCCTGCACAACCAACGCGACACCACCGCCCCAACAAAACAGCCACAATAACAGCCACTACTTCAAACAACAACAGCTTCAAACAACAACAACAACAACAACAACAACTTCAAACAACAACAACAACAACAGCTTCAAAACAACTGTGACGCGCACCATGTGTTTGCGCTGCCATTCATTGGAGGTATCCTCCGCTTGCGCCAGCGTCTGCAAGAGAGATGCGTTGTCCTCCCCCACGTCCTGCAGCTGCGACTTGAGCTCCTCAATCGTCTGTGTCGACGTCGCCAGCCGCGCCTCAAGCTCCCGCACGCTGGGGTGGTGGTGGTGGTGGTGATGATGATGATGGTGGCTGTTGTGGCGTGATCCGTTGCGGCGGCGGCGCCCGCGCGCGTATGCAAAAGGGCTGCTGCCCTCTGAGCAGTCTGAATCCGTGGTCTCGCCCTCCTCATCCGTAAACAGCATCGCCCCGCTCAGTCGCGCAACCTGGCAAGGTTGGGGAAGACAGGGACACCACACAAACACGCGTTCGAGCAGGGATTCGCATGAGCTGCGTGGGTCTACACGCGACACAACAAACAAACAAACAAACTAACAACAACTTAAACAACTACAACAGCTTAAACAACAACAACATCAGCAGGAACAGCAGCAGGGCTGGCAACACGGAACGGACCCGTGCTGTGAGGTCTTTGATGGTGGCTCTACTCCGCTCAAGCTGGTCACGCAAGTCTGTGCACATCTGTTGCACAACAAGGACAGCGGCAGCAGTCGTAATTGTCGTGTGTGTGTGGGGGGGGGGGTAAATGGGTGAGTGCGTGTGAATCTGTAGGTGAGTAAGTGAGTGACCATACAACGGACCACGAGCATCAATTGGGCGGTGAGTACAAGGCGCAGCAGCAACGGTTCGTAAGATAAATGTGATTTGCTCAGCTGATTGTACCTGCACGTCGGCTTGATGCTCGCGCATCTCAATGTCAAAGGCCTGCTGCAGGTTTTCATAGCTGTACTTTGCTTGAGAGAGTTCCTGAACGCAAGCACGAAGGTGATGGCGGCTGTCACAGGTACTCATTGGCAACACACAAACGACACGGCACATACACGGCACCCACACATACATGCGCATTCTCACAACTTTGCTGTCAAATAACAGTGGGTCGCAAAGACACAAACACACACGCACATACACTACACATACATGCACACGCACGATACAAAACACACACAAACACACACACTACAAACACACACACAAGCACACACACTACAAACACACACACAAACACACACAAGCACACTACAAACACACACACAGACACACACAAGCACTACACAAAAATACACACACACGAGACGCACGTGTTCGAGGCGGTGGATTTGAGCTTGGTAGTGGTCTTTAGAGGGAGTTTTCAGGGCATCACTGTGCAAGACAAAGCTGTCTGTGGCGAGCCTGTCGCTTGGGGAGTGGTCCCGCTCCTGGTTAAAGCTGGTGGTGCGGCGCCTGGCAGCAGCAAACAAGCTGTGTGGCACGGTGCGCTGTTGTGGTTGCTGCTGTGTTGCCAGTGGGCGCCTGGCCTTGTGTGGGTAGCCGTGTTGCGTCGTTGGCAAAGCTGATGATGTAGTGGCTGGAGACTGAAGCCCCCGCGTCAACGAGGATGAAACGACCACCCCAGTCTCTCCAGCCAGTTCCTCCTCCTCTTGGAAAGGGTGGTGCTGGTGCTGCCAGATGCGCTCTTGCTCCAGCTCATCGTTCTGCTGACGTCTCGCGCTCATCATGTTCTCTTCGTTGTCGTCGTTGTTGTTTGTTGCAAGTCTCGATCTCTCTCTCTCTCCCTTGGTGCAGTCCCGGGCAGCTGGAGCGGCACAACCCTCCGTCCCCAACGCACAGAGACTGAAGGTGTGTGTGTGTGTGTGTGTGTGTGTGTGTGTGTGCGTGTGTGTGAAGGAAGATGAGGGAAGTCTGCGTGAGAGCAGAGAAGCGTGAGTGAGGGCACTGCTCGCTTGCTTGCGTGCTTGCGTCGGTGCTGTTTCCTTCTCTGCCGCGAAAAACGGCATGATAATTGACGCAAATCTCCAACAGATCCTCCACAAATCGTGGCTCCCTGCCACTAGGACAGGCGTGCTATATAAATGCCACCGCGAGCGCCATTGATGTGAACCAAGCACACACAAACAAGCAAGCACAAGACACCTTCCTTCCACCATCGCGAACCACCCTTCTTCTCCTCTCTCTCCTCTGTCTTCTTGTTCTTGTTCTTTCCCTGTCTTTCTTCTTGTTCTTCTTGTTCTTCTTCTTGGTTGCAGGCAAGCACGGCAGGCACAGCGGCACCATGACGGATGCAGTTGAGAAGCGCGTGCAAGCGTGCGCAACAGAATTGAAGACAATGACGGTGGACGTGTCAGGCCTCAAGCGGCAACTCGGCACTCTTCGCTCGCAGCTGTTCAAAGTGGAGATGCTGCGTGCGCGCCGCCGCGTTCGCGCCGCTGCACTTGCGGTGGCCTCGGCACCAGATGACGAGGCCGCCGACAAGGCGCTCGACTCCATGACCCGGAGCATGCAGGAGCTCGAGCTCACACGCAAGAGCGGCGCCCGCTTCGACATGTACAAGAACCGCGGGCGCGGCAAGCAGGCCACCCAGGAGCGCCTGCAGGCCACCCTGGCCGGCCTCAGCAACCTGCGCGAGAAGCGGTGGAGCGAGGAGCGCGGCATCCGCCTGCCTCGTGCTCGGCCGTCCCCGACGAAGATGCCCGTCACTGCGCCCATCCCGGGGCAGCCGCCGGCGCTGCCGCCTCTGGGCGACCTCCAGGACATTCCCAACCTCAACTTTGTTGCTGCGAACCTCAAGTCCAGCAACCCGGCGACCCTGCTGGAGGAGGTGCGCCGGCTGCGCAAGGCCCTGTCGCGGGAGGCGCAGCCGCCCATCGACGAGGTGATCCAGTCTGGCGCGGTGCCGTACCTCGTGCACTTGCTCGTGCACGACAACGCGACCATCCAGTTTGAGGCCGCGTGGGCGCTGACCAACATTGCCTCTGGCAACTCGAGCCAGACGCGCGTGGTGATTGGCAACAACGGCATCCCTTTCTTCGTGCACCTGCTGCAGTCGCCGGCCGCCGACGTGTGCGACCAGGCCATCTGGGCGCTGGGCAACATCAGCGGCGACTGCCCGGAGTACCGCGACCTGTGCATCAGCCACCACATTGTGCCCGTCCTCATCAACATCCTCAAGTCTGCGCAGAAGGTGCAGCTCATCCGCAACGCCGTGTGGTGCCTCAGCAACCTGTGCCGCGGCAAGCCCCGCCCGCCGTTTGCGGAGGTTGCCGTGGCCATCCCCATGCTGGCGCAGTGCATCATGTCCGACGACCGCGACACGGTGACCGATGCGCTGTGGGCCATCTCCTACCTCTCGGACGGCGCCAACGAGCAGATTGCGAGCGTGCTGCGCGCGGTGAACGTGCGGGTGCTGGTGGAGATGCTGCTGAAGAACGATCCGCAGCTGGTGACGCCGGCCCTGCGCACGCTCGGCAACATTGTCACGGGCACCGACGTGCAGACGCAGGCGTGCATTGACGCCGGGATGCTGCCTGCGCTGCGTGCCATCCTCAGCAAGCGCGACAACAAGAAGGCCATGCTCAAGGAGGCGTGCTGGGCGCTGAGCAACATCACGGCAGGCACGCGGGAGCAGATACAGGCGGTGCTTGATGCGGGCCTGGTGCCGCTTGCTGTGGACTACTGCCTCAACGCACCAGCGCCCGACGTGGCCAAGGAGGCGCTGTGGGTGCTGTCGAACATGACGAGCGGCGGGTCGCCG